TGAACCTCCTTTTTGACGAACTCCCTCCTCTCAGCGGAGAGGTACCTTTTGCGTTGCTGGACTGGCTTGACCGTGGGGTCGACAGCCAGCTTGTGCGTGATCACGTCTCGGCTTAGACCCGGCATATCCTCGGGGCCCCATGCGAAGACCTCCTTGTAGCTCCTGATGGTGTCGATTATCCGTGCCCGGAGGTCGGCCGGGAGGCCGACCCCTACCTTCACGACCCGGTCAGGTCGGCTGAGGTCGAGGATGACCTCCTCTGTCTCGACCACGGGCCCGGCTCGAGGTCGTCCTGCCTCCTCTCGAAACGCCTTCTCAACAATGGTATGGACCTGGAGGTCCTTCTGACCAATTTGGCGGCACACCTTCAGGTAACAGCTGCGGCTCACCCTTTGGTCTCCCCGGGCGACCCCAACCCCGTTTGGTGTCGGGAACTTGAGACACAGATGCTCCATAGAAATCACGCACCTGAGGTCCTCTAGGGCGGGCCGACCGAGAATAATGTTGTGGGCGCAACTGATCTTGACGACTACGAACTCGACCTCCCACCTCCTGGTGTGCGGTGGGGTGCCTATCTCCGCCTCCAAATTGATCGACCCCTCCGTTTCGATCGAGTCCCCCGTGAACCCGGACAGTGGGGTCCGTACTTGCTCCAGCTGTCCTCTTGAGAGTCCCAGCTGGGTGAACGTGTCGTAGTACATGACGTTCACCGAGCTGCCCGTGTCTACGAGCACCCGGTGCACCACCACGTTGTTTATGTCCAGCTTAACCACTAGGGCGTCCCGGTGGGGGAGGGGCCCATCTGGAAGGTCGGCGTCGGTGAACGTGATGGGCTCCCTCTTCGGTTTCTTCTCGTGGGGGGTACGTGTGACCTCCCCCACGTACAAGCTCCTCGCCCACCTCTTCCGCTCGGCTGGCGAGTCCCCTCCCTCGGGCCCCCCAAAGATGACGTAGATGGTCCGCTTCTTCGGGGGCTGGGAGTCCTCCGTCGTCTTCTCCTCCTCCTCGGAGCTGTGGTCGTGGTGGTCCCTCTTGCGGGGAGCCGATGTGGATGGCCCCTGGCCGCCCCCCTTCCTCCATACGTTACCTGGTTTCTGGCCCTGCGCCTGCCCTTGTGCCTGGCCGGGTCTTTTAATGAATTGGCCGAGGTAACCCATTTGGATGAGTTCCTCGATTTGCCGCTTCAAGAGGATGCATTCGTCTGTGTCGTGCCCTTTCTGCCTGTGGAACCTGCAGTACTTGTTGGGGTCCCCCCTTGCCGATATCTTCATGCACTCCTCCTTCGGGAACACCACGATTCCCTGGTCCTCCGCGTGCGCCAAGATGGTACCCACTGATTGCGTCAGCGGGGTGAGATAGCGTGTGGGGTTCAGTCTGGGCCCCTCAGCGTACTCACGTCGGTGCGGCCGCGGCGCCTTGCGCTCCTCCTGGGGTGCCTTGTCTTTCCGGCCACGCCCTTCCTCCTGCTCCTTCTTCCTCTTCTCGGCAGCCTCGGCGTCAGCATACCGTGCTGCCTTGTCCATCAGGTCGTTGTAGGTCCTAGGGGGGTACCTGATGAGGTCTTGGTGAAAGGCGCCCGACCTCAGGTTGTTCCGGAAAATGACTATGGCCGACTTCCCATCGAAGTCGGCGACCCCCATGGCCTCTTTTTTCCACTTGCTGAGGTACTCAGCTAGTGATTCTGAGCTCCCCTGTTTCAAATCACATAGGTCGGCAATTTGCTTCTTCCGCTGTATGCTGGTGGCGAAATGGGATAGGAACTGCCGGGTGAGGTCCGCGAAGGTGGAGATGGACCCCGCCGGGAGGGATCCGAACCAATCGTGTGCCTGCCCGTCCAAGGTGGCGAAGAACCCCCTGCATAGGATGGCATCTGTTGCCTCGGTGATCATCATGGCGGCTCTATACCTGGTCAGGTGTGCCCGCGGGTCCGTGGTCCCCGAGTACGCCTTAATGGTGGGAAAGCGAAAGTCCCGAGGTAGGGGCTCTGCCATGATGGTGTCTGCGAATGGGGAGGCCAACACATCCTGGGGCTCCGGAGACCCGTCCCTCTCCTCGATCTTCCGTTGGAGCTCGTCCATCCTCCTCTGCAGCTTCTCGACCTCCCCCCGATGGGAGCTCGGGGCTTTACCTTTCGTTTCCCCCGAGCGTTCGACCCGGGAGGCCTGCTCGCGTCGCGGGTGGAGCCGGGGGACCCGACCTGCTGACCCGCGCGAGGATGCCTCGTGTCGCGGCGGGGCGCGGGGCCCGCGGCTCGGCGACCCCCGAGTGACCGATCCCTGTCGTAGCGGCCGGCGGGAGCACGACTCCGCCGCCGGTGGCCCATTGGCCGGCCTCGGACCCAACCTATCCCGGGCTGTCACGCGATCGCCCAATCTCTCCAGGGCGGGCCTGGTTTGGATCGGCGTCCTTCCATCGTCGTCACGCTGACGGTCTCGGCGGGAATCTCCACCTCCCCGCCTCCCCGATGGTCGAGGCGAGTTGACCTCCCCCTGGGTGACAGGTGCCTGGGGTGGTCGGGTGCTCGGGCCACTGCGCCCCCGGGTGGGAGGAGGCGGGGGCGACGCCGGCGCCCCTCCGGTGGTACCTAAGGCGGCTTGTTCCTCTGCTCGGAGGCCCGCCGCGACGCGCGCCAGCGCGGTGGAAGCTTGTTCGAAGACCGCCACCCCCTCCTGGATGAGTGCGCGAGCTGGAGCGGGGGCGGCGGGGGGTGCTGGTGGCGCACCACTGCTACGGTGGTTGGTGAGCTGGGCCCTCAGATCCTCCCCCGACCTGGCAGAGGCGGCCGGTTGGACGCCGGGGGCGGGGGCCCTGTTGGGGCCGTTCCCGTTCGCGACGAGCTGGGTGCCGCGGGAACCATTGGTATGACGAGAGCTGGATCTCGATCGTGCCATCGCTGTCGATGAACGATAGTGGGGAGAGCGCTTAAGCTTATACAGCAGCTCTCAACAAGAGCACCAATGATGGAATTAATTAACCCGGGGTGGACCCGAATCAATAAATCCGGATAAGAACGTAATATAAAGAATAAGAAACGAAATATAGAACGATGTCGTAAAGGTCGCTGAGGACCGTATATTGTATTAAATGCCGTGGGATTGGCTATTACAATGATTCTTCACCACAAACTATGTCCGGAAAATAAAGTGTGTCCTAACTGGACAAGATGGGAGGTTTTTATACAACCCCCGTCCCTAACCGCCACCCCCCAAAGCGGGGGGTAGTTAGATCCAGGTTGACCGCGCCCGGTCTTGCGACCGGGCCGCGTTGTGGGGCCAGGCCGAGCCCGTCATGGGCTCGGGCCGAGCCCACTAGGAGGTCGGCCCAGCCTCCTGGAGAGGCCGGCCCGGCCTCTGACGTGGCCCCGCACAAGGCCCTCCCGGGGCGGGTACGTGGCGCCGCCCCGGGACCCGTTCTTGCCCGCGCACCTCGGGTCGGTGCGGGTCGGTTCCTAATATATCCGTCAGTCGCCTCTTAATTTTAAGTGGTGAAAATTTTGATCTTGAATTTTCAAAATGCTGTATATATTGCCCCTCCACCAGCGAACCCGTTATATATATATATATATATATATATATATATATATATATATATATAGGTTCCCGTGCGATTGAACTTCTTAGGTGCGGTTGCTTATAAGATGCGTGGTTTGTGTGCTTAAGGTGTGTCAGTGTTGAAATTTAAGGTGCGTGCTTAAGATGCATTGTTTTGCTTCTTAAGGTGCGTGCTTAAGATGCATTGTTTTCCTTTTTAAGGTGCGTGATTTGTATGCTTAAGGTGCGTCAGTTATGTGAAACTTAAGGTGCGCCAGTTTAAAACCTTAGGCGAGTGGTTTGTGTTCTTAAGGTGCTTTGTTTGTATGCTTAAGGTGCGTGGTATGTGTACTTAAGGTGCGTCGGCCTAAAGCTTAAGGTGCGCATGGTTTGTGTTCTTAAGGTGCTTTGTTTGTGTGCTTAAGGTGCGTGATTTGTGTACTTAAGGTGCACCATTTTAATGCTTAAGATGCGTCAACTGCACAACCGCCTGGGAAGCTATACCCGCACCTGAACCCTTCCATATATATATATATATATATATATATATATATATATATATATATATATATATATATATATATATATATATGCTTAAGTGCTTGTTCATAAATATGTTTGTAAACATTATTAAATGTACATTAAATGAGTTTGTTCGTGAACATTATTAAACGAACAGTCGAACACTAAACGAGGTTGTTCATGATCATTATTAAACGAATGCAAACGAGCTTGTTCACGAGCTCCTAGTAAACAAGTCTATAGTTCATACTATGTTCGTTTATTAACTGAGTTCTAAAATGTTTTCATTTATGTTCGTTTGCCGTAATAAACGAATGTTTAACGAATACGAACACGATTAGTTTACCTAAGGCTCTGTTCGCTAACACCCCTAGATACAAAATTTTAATTTCAATTTTGTCTAAATTTTTTCAATTATAATTAAAACAAATATGTGACTTTTTTACCAACTACTATGTAATATAATAGAACCGTCGTTACCTTTCCAAAAAATGACTTTTAGAAATATAGTTATCAAGTATAAAAATAACGGACTATATACAAAATATTTTATTAAAAAAATTGAGAGCTTTGACTGCACATGACTAATGTTAGTCCTACATAACAGCTTGATCAATTTGGCTGTGATTATCTTTTAATTTTAATTTTTTTTAGGAGAATCTCAATTTAGTTGTTTTTATAAGAATAGATTAAAAATCATCATAGATTATTTAATATTTTAGATTAAAAAATCTTGTGAAATATAAATATTCTATCCCTACAAAAAGTCTAAAAACGAGACGGATGAAATAATATTAGTTTATTGGGACGTCGAGCCCTCAACTCTGAAGGCCTCAATAGTCAATACTCAATACATAGTATTCTTTTGACTTGGTCTTGAGTACAGCCGTGAATCCATGATCGTGATTAACTAGGGACACCATGCTGGAACAAACATATATAACTATCTTTTCTTTCCATTCTTTCTCATTATTACATATAAAAATAAACTGCTTTCTTTTCCAACGTGAGCCAACATTATTATGGCAACAACTTCCCGTTCACCCCCTCCGTCAATAGTCTCGCCGTCCTGCCGGAACCCCAGAAATCGCCGACCATCAACGCACGTCGTCATCACAGCCCAGAGCTATAGAGATCAAGGTACGTATTTGTCTCCGTTTTGGACTATGTTTGGTAAAATTTATTTTAGAGCTTATAACTTATTTTAAACTACAAATCAAATATAAGTTCTGAGCCAACTACTATATAGTCTGATGACATCTTTGTTATCGTTCCAAATTGTTGGTACGGGCTTTGATTCTTTGGGCTGATTGAAAATGATTGATTGAGAACGTCTAGAACAGATACTACATACCTATGAGAGAATCTTGAGTGTTGGAGAGTTTAAAAGAGTGGGTTGACTACTTATTGGTTGTTGTCCATGATACTGATGATACAGGGAGGGGAAAGCGTAAAATGGTTGATGAGAATTTGCAGATTTTAAGGGGGAGAATTGAAGATGTGAAGAATAGGGAGAAACTGGAGAGGTGTTTATTAAGAAGTGAAGGTGCCCAGCTGCTAGGGTGGAATTATGCAGCATGTGATGATGATGATTACAAGAAGCACAAAAAGGAGTTGGAACAATCTCAGTTACTGCAACTAATTCTTATTAATGTTGTTGGGACTCTTGGCTTCACTCTTCTCACCTGCACTCTTTGCCTTTGCCTCACTTCCATTTTGATTCATTTCACTATGTAAATTATTATTCATTCATTTATGCAATCTCGATCTGTTTATGCCATGATTCATCTTGCTTTTTTGCCATTCTATGGCTATTTTGGTTTGTTCACAATATCTTTAAATACTTTCATCTTTTCAAGTAGAAATTTGTGGTGTGATTGAGTGGGAGGGACTCATCCATCCTTAACCAAAGGTCAAGGTTCGATCAGTGGCTTTATTGAGCATGTGCTTACAATTCAGCAAGGGATTAATCACTGTGTTCGGCGGCCTTGACTTTGGGTATGGAGCAGGTGCTTACAATTCAGTGGATTAATCACTGTGTTCGACGGCCTTGACTTTGGGTATGGAGCAGGTGCTTACAATTCAGGGGATCAATCACTGTGTGTTCGACGGCGTGAATATACCCAAAAAAAAAAAATCACTGCTGAAAATTATGAAATTTCCGACCACCGGAAAGTGATTTTAAATCAAGTCAAAAGCAAAAAGTGGTCGAAAATAGCAACAAAAATTTTTTCGGATATCAAAAATGGTCGGAACAAGACTTTCGACTTGATTTAAAATCACTTACAGGTGGTCGGAAATTTCATAATTTTTAGCAGTGAATTTTTTTTAGTAGAAAAAAAAATAAATCTATGGGGATTTTGCTTCTATTTGGTGCATTACGTATAACAACATAGACATATGCTTAGCAACAACTAATTAAAAGGACAAGCTACGAGCCAAATGTGTCGATGGCTAGAATGCTAGCCAGCTAATATCTTAACCATATATATATGTGTTTAGTTGTTTACTCAAAAGTATAAATGCATCACCTAAAAGGACAAGAACCAAATGCAATATAATACCAAATCTCTAATTTATCACTATTTAATATAAACATTGACATCAAGTGAAAGGACAAGTTCCTGGTCCCAAATCTCTTGATTGTTAGGATGACTCATAATGATTTTTCTCTCAATATTATATTTCATTTTGATTATTTTATTTGTTTGCTTATTTTTGTTATTCAATTACTTTAATAATGACAAGAGTCATTACCCTCTCCTCTACTCCTTTACTTTTAGACTTTGGAATAAAAGATGAAAATAAAATAAAAAGAAGGCATGGATAAGGGTCAAATAGTAGCAATTGTACTTTCCATCATTTTATATAGAGGGTGTTTGGTAAATAGATGTTAACTAATTGGATTAATGGATTTTACTAGTTGATAGTATTAGTTAGCTGTTTTGAGTGTTTTTTTAAATTTTAGTGTTTTGGAGCAATAAGCTGTTACAAAAAACTAATTAATCAAACACTCATATTTATTGTTTAACCAAGTCAAACAGCTAATAGTGATTGTTTAACCAAGTCAATTCAAACAGCTAATAGTGGTTAAACCAGCCAAAATTAATGAATAGACTAACTATTTTACCAAATAGAGACATAATCAAAAGAGTAATGTTAGGTATCTCTTCTAAAAACTTTCCCTTCAATTTTCTCACCTGATGTAGCAACAACTAATTGGATTATTTAGTATTTAACTAAAAGTGTGTAAAGTCAACCAATTCATGACACTCAATGAATATAAGCCGCATCATAGAGAGAAAATATTAAGAAAATTTTAGGAGGGGTGAATAACATTTTTTTAATCAAAATATCAGTGTTCTTTCGATTTTGAGAAGGAACATCAAATATATATTATAACAATTCATTTAACTCTAAACATATTATACTATACAATTGCTAAGGGGTAACTAAAAGTCTAAAACTATCAAGGATAAAATAAATTATATTGTTTGACGTTTTCGAAATCCCCATGCCCATGGCTGCTACTGTATATAAAACAATAATCGCCCGCCAATCCAATACTAATTCAAACATCAGACTTATGGAATTAGTCTTTTAATTTGTAATTTCTTTTTAAAAACAATCAAATTCTTTTATTTGGTTGGAAAGAATTGCAATTATGTGGAATTGCAATTCTCTCATTTGTATGGAATTAGAATCACATGTTTAGCTCTCTCTCTCCGGATATTTCAATTCTGCATTGGTTGAAAAAGAAAAAAAAAAGATAGCATTGAGACAATTACTTTTCTCTTTTCTAATCTAAAAAAAAGATCATTTAAAAAGCTTAATTTTATTACGTTTAACTAAGTTTTGTACTTTTATTTTTATAGAGTTTTTTGGATGTGAGCTTATAAGCTTAATGTTGCATGGTTAAGTAAATTTTGGGAACTATTAAATATGTTATATCATACAAGTTTATATCTAAAGTGTCCAAATAACAATTGCATTATATTGCATTATAGTTTTTACAAAAATTTATTTGTTATTTAAGATTAATAATAATAAATATAAGTTGTTGATCTGTAGGACCAATCTTGATAGTGAATCCAATAATCCATCTTGCCAAATAATAAGATGATCTCGGACTAGAGTATTTTAATAGTGTAGTCATAAAAATTCTAGTTTAAATCACCTCGCTATCAATTGTTTATTAACTTTTGGAACAATATAAGACTTCACTTGTTAGACGCCTAAAAGCATCCATATCAGTTTAAACTTTTGCACGATTTTTAAGTGATATTTAGGAGAGAAATGATGGCAATAAAAAATGGAGAAAAAGAAAAAAAAAAATCTGACATAAAAAAAAAAAAAAAAAAAAAAAAAAAAAAAAAAGCGCCCAGTAGTCGCGTGCGATGCACGTGCCTTCTAAGCGTGCTATCTACCTTCCACGCGCACCATATTAGTTTTGCTTCTCCTTTTCTCTCACATGGTAGGTCCCATAAAAAAACATATTCTTGCAGGAAAGAAAAAAAAAAAATCCTTCTTTGATTTTTTTCTTATGCAAAAACCCCATAAAATCCACAAGTGTAGATGCTCTAAGCTCTGATTGATTGGAATACAAAACACGTCCTTCTCTTTTGCCAAGACAGTGGAGAAGTATGATTCTCATACTTGAACTTCATAAACTCGTTTTTTAGTCCCATGAGAAGATAAAACGAGTTAATTAATCTAATTTTGAGATTCAACACTAAACTTTGCACTTTTGTGCATAATGAGTACGTCCAACCTAAACTCAAGCTCCTAATGTTCATGATAGGAATCGAACACTTACCTTGTTGGAATCAAGTCTGTTGGAATCAAGTCTTAAGTAAAGATTCTCATCCACTAGATCAATGTCCTAAGAGCTACAAGTTCGATTCGATTCTTGCTAACACACTCTTGAGTCTGTCGCACAAGCTCTCATGTGTTGTTTACAGACAATTATGCATGAGCAAAATTTACCTAGTGTACACCTTCACGTAGTGCATGCATGTGGATTTCCCTTGTCACCTAAAAAATGAAGTTGATGCATTTGTGAAGGATCACGTTGAAGTCAATTTTTAGCACAAAGAGTCAATATTACCCTCATTGGGGCTCAAACACATGACCTCCTATTTGAACGAGTCACTTCGTGCCATTAGACCACAAGTTCATTGGCACACACCAAGTCAGTCACAAAAATACAATAATTTCGTAAAACCGCATGCAGTAGCTAATTAATTTCAAATATACACAAAATTGTAATTAATTTTTTATTGGTCTGACCTAGAACGGGGTTTAGGAGGATGGTGTTGTAACATTTACTAATTGGAGAAGTTTTTTTTATTCTTTTAAATAAAAAAGAAAGTGGGAAAATTAAAATAGAAAATGTATTTATTTGTGCATTTTACTAATTTAAAAATAAAAAGTGGATAATAAAAAGCTGGAAAAATAAAAACTAACACTACAAGAAAATCGTAAAATACTAACAAATTTAGACATAGATTAAATAAGTACAACTTAAATACCTATAGATCAGATGCAAGTGTTTTAACAACAAATATTTTTATTGTTATACCTATAAATTTCAATAATTTATTATCAACTAATTTTCAGTTGATAAATTTAATTTTTCTTGTACATAAAATAATTGAAGGTGAGCTAGTGAAGTCTACTCATCATTTAGGAATATAGTAATTTTCTCAAGAGTAATTAGAAAGAAGAAGATTGGCAAAGTTTCTATTACAAATCTACTCCAACCCATGAAATCCACCATTTCGTCGTTGAATTTCATAGCCTAAGGCTTCATTGATTCTAATGAACATGAGCTCATAGCATCTCTAATAGTTAATGTTTTGCACAAGTTTTTAGGAGTCAAAAAAGAAAGAAGAGAGGGGAAAAAAACAAGAAAAAGTTTTCAAAAAAAAAAAAAAGAAAGAAGAAGGAACAGTTACGCACCCAGCTAGGTGCTCCTGATTAGAGTAAAAATCAACCTCTCCTACAAAGACACAAAACCTTCTCTCTCTTAACTCTCTCCACATGTTCGGTGCTTTAAAACCTGCAAAAACCATTGGAGAACCTCCTATTGTGGATGCTCTGATAGCAGTTGGATGCTCTGATAGCAGTTAACACACCTTAGAGTGCAGAAGAGAATTTGGAAGAAAGGAGAGTTATGAGAACAGAAACTTGATTGTTAGTTTGAATAGGCACAGACAGGAAATTTTTTATTACATTTACCCTATTTATAGGGTGTTGAGGAGAGAACAAAAAGAAAACAAAAATCCCCAGCATTTTGCAACATAATAAGCATAACATGACTAAATACTCCCCGTTCATAAATGAGGGAACTTCTGGATGGCATCCAATAAATTCCTGTAATTTTTGAAAGATAGAATACTGAACAGTAACATTCGGCCATACATAAAAAGCTTAGAACCAGAAGTCACGTTCACTCGAATACATAAAAAGTTTTATTGATTCAGATCCTTAGGAAGCCGACTGTGGCAACCCGGGATCCTACGGATCCTCCAAACATGAATGTTGGATAGGATCGAACATGATCAAGGTATCGGAATGGAGGAGGATCTCTGGGGGTTTCCTGCTCTTGAGTCCCCTCCGATTCTTGACTACCAGGGTTTCTTCTTTGGTTGAGGTTGAAAGCAGACACTTCTTCTACCAATTCGTCCTTCGTACTGTTGCACGATGTAATGACCTGCAATAATCACGAGCAAGAGCAATAAAAAAACACATCACATAAACAGACAAGTTGTGAGTTTTGGAAAAAGACGATTCCACATTTCCTCACATTCTTGTGGAAAAAACACCACTATCGGATAAAAGATTTAACCCTAACAAATAATGACTGTTGAGCATAGCAGCAGGAAGGCTGTAAAGAAGCATTATTGCAGTGACAGGAAACAAGCAGTAGAGGGGCTTACCAATAACCCACCAGGAGCTACAAGTTTTGAGATGGAGTCCCAGTACATGATCCTGGAAAAACAAATGAAGCATTTCACGAAAATCAAATGGTTACGACTAAACAAAGATGCACAAGTCTTATATGGTGGAACTTCACCTTTTGATAGGACCATCAGGATGCAATCCAATGGCATCTAAGGTACCTTTATCCATAACAAGCTGAAACTTCCTATCTAACTTTGTTTCAAGAATGTCATCGACCTGGAAACCAATTAAAAGCGGAGTCAACTGCTAAAGAAAATAATGAATTAACGAGAGAGAACAAGGGTAGCCATTGGGCTTTTCTTGTAACTTGTTACCATATGCATTAAAGGAGACAACCAAGATTTGCCTATTTAATAAAACAACTGACTGCCACAATCAACACATAAACAAGTTGTTCACCCTAAAGGCTATTTCACGGTTTCACTATCATCAACCATGCCAAATAAATTTATCCCCAAGCTTTTATGTCTTCCCATGGGAACTTATATCAAGGTTCTCTTTCTTGGAAAGGGAAAGATTCGTACAAGTTTCATGATAAGGGCGGGACAAAGAAGAATCAATTTTAGATGCCCCATAGCATTTTGACATGATTTTAGAACCACAATTTAAGAACAAGCACTGAGCAATCACCATGACAAGGTAGGGATTTACAGGGCGAAAAAGTATGAAATACAAATAGTGAAAAGCTTATCTTAGTGTTCTTAAAAAATAGGTACATCTTGCACCCGAAAAAAATAAAAAATAAAATACAAAGATAGAATTCCAAACAATAAAGTTCGAATACTCAACAAAAGGCAAATTACCAAGAATTTGATATCAGGGAAACCATCACGATCAGCAAGATTTCGAGCAAGGTCAACTGCTCCTTCACTATAGTCAGTTCCAGTGAGATCAGAGAACCTAATCCAACCATATATTTAGTAAACTCTAAGATGCAGTATAATTATATATCTGCAATAAAATTATACCGGACATCCCCAATGAAAAATTCATTGTTTTGTTAACCTCAAGGGAAGGTATAGAAGTACAATATCAATTACTTATTATTAGTGCTTGCTACAGAATATAAAAACTTACCCCTGTTTAGCAAGCTCTTGAAGAAGCAAGCCATTGCCAGTCCCAATGTCAAGCACACTCCATTTAGACAAGTCTTTTTCAAGATGCCCGGCAGGAATTGAATTGGTATCCCCTATGTGATTTGGTAAGTGACCTAGGGCAATATCAATGCACAAGCTTTTGGTCCAGGAACCAACAGTTTCCATTACATCAGCACCAAACCTATGAAGCCAAAAAAAAACCCAAAACATCTAATTAAAAACAGTAGCAGTAGCTGCAACATCAACAGTATTAATGATGAAATCCATGAGGATGATGTGCGCTTAACTTGATCCCACTTTTCATCGTGCAGCAAAACCGTGTGTATTAAACCTCAAAATCAAAGCTTCTAACTTATTATAACCTATCAATTTAGTGGGAACCTACAACGATTGCTAGATCTAACCCAACTTCAAGGTGTACCACTAAAGTTTCAAGAAATACTACTTGAAGCTTTAGAAATACTTACCAAACTTCACCAGCATGGCCATGCTCTCGAAAATTTGTCAATTCATCAGCATATGCGGCATCCCAATAAGTCTGGAAACCAAGCATTGAAGAAACTCCTTCGGCATCTTGATCTTCTTTGTCAGAACTGCATAGTGAAAAAGAGTCAATTGCTTACAACCAAACAATGCAAGCTAAAATACAAAAAAAATCAACAGTAGATGTGCAAAATCATGCAAAAAAAACTTCAAATCAGATATCTCAAGATCTACCTCTCAACAAATAAAACTCTAAAGTTAAAGATCTGATAGCATTACTCAACTCAGTTCAATAAGCCCAATCTAGTTAAGATCAGATACTGAGATACACAGGCCTTTGTCTCCTTTCCACGTCCTAATAACTAATAAATCCGACCATGATCTATCATACCTTTCTCGTTCAGAATTTCATGAATAATGATTCACTTGTTCAAAATTTGATAAAAAGAAATAAAATTAAGGGGTTGAAATTCAACAAAGATATGTTTCTGTTAATTTTCAAACATTTCCATCTAGCGCAGATGACAATTTAATTATTTAGAGAAAAGAAAAGTCCAACTTCCATATTTCACGGAAAATAGAGCAGCGAAGATCGTGTCATTGAGCGATAAGAGAAACCTGTAGTCAGAAGCGGCTCTGTAACTGGCCACTGAAAGAGCTTCAGTGGCATCAGCGTGACGCTGCTCGTCGTCAAGGGTACTCCCGTACTCGCTCTTTATAGACCAGGAGTCCGCGGCCACGGACCGGTCGTCGTCGGAAATCAAGTCGGCTGCTGCCGTAGGTCTGACCTGCGTAGTATCGGAATCTTCCGGCGTCAATTTCATTCCGGCCATACTCAATCGGAGAGAAGGAGGAAGGAAAACCCTAAGTTAACAGAAGCAGTAAATTGAGAAACGCAGGGCGGCGAAGAGAGTGATGTCGAGAGGTTGACAAAGATCAAAGATGGAAAGGGCATTGGATATTCACTATTCAGCTGATCTGCGACCACGTAGGACTTTAGGGATTAATTTGTCATTTCACTATTGTTTTCATTTCTATTTTTGTTTTTTTTAAGGTTAATAAAAATATTTCCAAAAGTTTCTAATTCTTTTTTTTTTTTTTTCTATTTTACCCAATGCTTTTAAAATAAATCGTGGGAAAATGACATGTTTTTCCCTGAGTTATATATTTATAACATTTTTTCCCCTGAATTATTTATGTAAGCATATTAGTCCCTTAATTATTTTAAAAGTGGTGGTTTTTCTTCCTGATATATTAAATTGACATTTCTATCATTAAAGTAAACATTTTATTTATTTTACTTCTCTAACAAATTATTGCGTATATGTAGGGATGACCACGGTTCGGTTCGAACTGAACCGAACACTATAGCAATCGAATTAAAAGTTTTCGGTTATGATTCAGATCTAGAACCCAATATTTGGATTTTAATTTATTAAAATTATGAATCAAAAAAATGGATCCTGAACCGTGAACCGGCGGTTCCGGATCCGGTTCGCGATTTTGCACCGTCTTTATTTTATTTTTTATTTTTTAAATAGTCTAAATTCAACAATAGAAATATTTTATTTTTTTAGTTCGGAACATAACATGAACCGGCCGTTCCGGTTCGCGATTTAAATAAACTCTAAATATCAGGTTTCGATTCTAAATTGCAATTGGAATATTTTGGTTTGGTTGGTATACTGTCTGTTTGGTTTGAACCAAATTATGGTAATAATTTGTTGGAGAAGAAAAATGAATATGTCCATTTAACATTTCAGGGGAAAAAACAGCCACTTGAATAATTCAGGGGGGAAAAGTGCTATAAGTATATAACTCAGGGGAAAAAGTGTTATTCTCCCTAAATCGTTGAAGATTTTTCATTTTTTGTATGACTGCATTAATATGTGACTTTTCTAAACAATTAATAACTCCAATGCTCCCCCGAGTATGGGAGTATTACCAGCTAGGCAACTATGGTTCCAAAATTTTAAACTGATAAAAGATAGTCCTTCGAGTTTCAAAAAGTGACCACTTGTGGTCCTCCGTTAGTCAAATTGTGAATTAGACGTTAAAATGGAGAGTGAAATCGTCTTTTTAGATTATCGTCCTTCTTTCTATGTAATTTCAGTCATTTTTTCTCAATTCTTATGTGTGTTAGGTAGACCTCGAAAATGGAGACGATGGATGCTCAAATGAACTTCCAATGAATGGCGATTCGTCCCGTGAGAAAAAAAAATGACTAAAATTACGAATGTATTAAGAGAGGGTCCATAGGAAGGATGGTTTTCTTCTCATGAATTAAGAGAGGGTCCTCACACATCCATCTTTCGAGCCAAAACCTAGTTTCACGGCCGTCAGGGATGAGGGGTCTCATTCCCTCCTTGAGGATACTCTTAGTAGTTACAATCGCTTTCCAAAAACTAGATGCACCTTGGACAGATTGAATTCTATCAATGATGCATTCCCCTTTCATATATTAGCCTCTCATAACCTTGACAAATAGGGTATCTTAGTTTCCTCAGTCAGTAACTTCCATCCAAGCTTGGTTAAAAACGCCTTATTCATGTCACGAGCACTCCTGATTCAAGTTAAATCAAACAAAGAATTGAAATTTGTTTTTATAGTTCATTGGGAAGTTGGGGTGGAGTTTAGAGCATGATTTTGAAAAGTATCTAGACACATGATTTATTAAATCGGTGGAAGCTAAGCATATAAATCGGTGGAAGCTAAGCAACAAATTGGAGATAGCGATATCAAACAACACAAATAAATATGCAAATTAACAAAATAGAACTTGGGATGAGGTAACACATGATTCAATGCCATAACTAAAGATTAAGGGGAAATAAACTCAACATTGGATTCCAAGATTAATAATAACCAATTCGGAAGTTAACATGCCACTTTCGTGATCTATGCTAGGCCGAATTGAATGACGAAGATTGTCCCACTGTCATGATGTATCAACCCTCTTTATAAAGCCCAAGCTAAGCTCTCAATTTCCCTTGGAAATGGTAACCTAACTTTTATTGCGGTTAAATTTCCTACAAGATGAGTCAAAGATGTTGCGCACCACGCCTTACCACAATAATACAAAAGATTTCCCACAACATTTGGAACCCTAGATTGGGGTTTACCCCCTTTATGCAATAAACATCAAATAGACATTAGAATCTCACGTAAACCTCGATCCCAAGTCCTAAATAGGACTACTCACTCATCATATCAGCCAATAAAGCATAAACATTTACGGAAAAGATCATAAGGAAATAATATAAAGCAAGGCAAATAATACTTATCTCTGAAAATGAGAGGTCTCATGTTTGAACCCTAGTGTGGGAGCATTGACTCTTTGTGTTTAGTAGGCTAAGAAAGTATGTATGAACAGATATTACATTGTAATAGCGTCAATAGTATTCAAAAATACTTATCTATGAAAATAGGATAAATCCACAATCCAAAAAAGAATCAAATCATCAAAACAAGAGAATCTATCATTTTTGAAGAAAGGTAAAGTAGTTTCTTGACCAAAAGGTGCGAAAATCTCACTATACTCTCGCTATCTTGCGCTAGTGTTCACTTCTTCTCTCTAACCCCTTTTTTAGATCTAAAAATGACAGAATAAATCGCGCATCAGGGCTTAGCACATGGGCATCGGCATCGCCATGTTGAAGCCCTCTGCGGTAACAGTCACGTCACAGGCATGACGACGCCTGCATGACCGGTGTCGATGCTTCCTCACAGGCGTCACCCGTGACAATTGCTGAAATCATGCCACGACCTTATTCTACTTATTTTCACGTGTTCTCCTCTAGGGTTATATCCAATTGACCTTCGACCAGTGTTGTAAAACTCGGCCGCCTAGCCGCCTAGGCGCCCGCCTAGGCGCTAGGCGGCCACTTGCCTTGGAGTTTTGGCCTATAGGCGGCCAAAACTCGGTCGGCCGCCTAGGCGGCCTGGGCGGCCGCTAGGCGGCCTGGGCAGTCAAACTCGGCCGAGTCGACCGATTTCGTCCGATTTTGACCAATTTTGATCGATTTTGTCTGATTTTGACCGATGTCGTCTTTCATTAATTATTGATTTTAATATTATTATGACATTATGACTTATAAATTATCATTATTTCATTTATTTAGATGTGTTATTTGAGTGAACGTTGAAAACAACCTCATTAAAATTGTCGAACTACAAGTCTGTCACTATTTTTTTTAATTTTTTTGGTGCCCGCCTAGCGCCGCCTAGAATCCGCCTAGGCGCCGCCTAGACCGCCTAGGCGCTAGGCGCTGCCCGGCCGCCCGACTAGCGCCTAGCGCCTACTGCAACCTTGCCTTCGACTCATTTTCCATGCACTTTTAGCTTTGATTTGGTCAACTTTGATTCAATTTGCTTCCTCTTCCATATGTGCAATTAAGAGAAACTATACATAAGAGCACATTAATTAGTCCAATTTTTCTGTTAAATACATCAGTTTATGTACCAAACAAGCAAAAGCATGGGGAAAATATAGTCAAAAATATGTGTGATCAACTCCTAATCCCTAGCCTGCCAAGCGCTTTAGGCAAAGTAATGATACGCTAGTTAATTAGAAGTTCTTTTGTTCTCCGAACCACCCCACAAGAATTGCCTAACTTTTGATCAATATTGTCATAGAGAGTGACGAGTAAGAGGGCCGGCTACATCACATAGTACGGGATGGAGCTGAGAACAAATTGAGCTAGGGTTTGTCTCCCTGCCAAGGAAAGATAACAGGTTTAATTTTCACCCTTCAAGCTTGCTCGTTACTCAACCAATAGTGGTAGAATGGGTGCTTCTAGTTACCATGTCATGGATTGATGGCACACCTAGGTATTTGCCTAGGTCCTTTGTCAAATGGGTCCCCACATAGTTCGCCAAAGTTCCTGAAAGACACTTGTTCCCCATTTTTAGAGACAAAAAGCTGGGATTTTTCCAAGCGTACCTTTTGGACTGAGAACATGCCAAATTGGTTTAAGCAGTCCATAACAATTTGAATTTGGTCCAAGCTAGCCTCTGCAAATAGCACCATGTCGTCAATGAAGAACAAGTGCGAAAGGATGGTTCCCCCTCCTGAAAGTATGACCCTTTTTCCAATCCCATCCTGAACAATCATACTGATAAACTGACTGAGTTTCTCCATGCATAGAACAAAGATATACGGGGACATATGGTACGTGACCTTGCCGGATACCCTTACTTGGTTCAAAGTAATCCGCTCGTTCTCCCTCTCACATAAAGGAAAGGCTGTTTATAGGCACACAACAAAGAGCAAATAATATAAGAAGGTGTTCTAGGTATTGTAACTAATGACTCTCCTAAAGAATCTAGAACTTTTCAAAGAGATACAACACAATACACAAGACATAGTAAATAGACGTGCATAGTAATTCAATATATAATTTTATCACCATTTTTTATACTTCTGAGCGGTTGAACCAAAATATATATAAGATTGACTTTAGACGCTATTTGATGTAGCTAGTTTTTAATCCTCAATCCTTCATAGGAAAATATACAAATAATTACAATATCTCATTATGAAATTTTAATTTAAAATAGCACAACTAGTAAAAAATGAAAATTATAAATGATTTTTTTATTGAAGCAATGAAATTTTATTACACAAACAATAGTTACAAGATACAATTATTTCATGAATAAAGATCAAACAATAATTTGGGAACAATGAATAAAGAAGATACAATAAGCACAAAATTCAAAATACGAAAAAACATACAATAAACTCACAATTTTGAAATGTCCAATACAAATCAACCCCAAACTCATTTCACCTCAGCTCATTCAATCACCGCATGCATCACCTCTTCCGCCCCACCATCGCCATCGCCATCGCCATCCCCCCTTCCACCCCCGCTACCTTCATTGCTTTCATCACCGCTGCCGACCCGCACTAGCACCATCACCTCGGTTGCCGGCCGCCATATATCTCATCCA